AACAGGCACGAGTCCCACTCGCTCTCCGGGGAGTCTCAGCCACAACCAAAGGAGGACCCGTACCGCACAGGCTCAGCCAAGAGCACCTTAGCAGCATCGAATCACCATGAGAAGCCAGGTTCCCTCCGCGTCGCATTCCCACGCCTCTACCCACCAGCCCCAGCTCCAGTCCATGCACCGAGCCCATTCACCCTGACCTGAACCACTGGAAAGAAATCACAAAACACGTTCTACTCACCCTCAGAGCCAAGAGATCGATTTCATCCAGGCTGCGAGCCGGGGAGTCGCTCGCCATGTCTACTTCTTTGCCGTAGAAATGGACCAAAATCACCCCAAAGCTTCTCCCTGGTCTATTTCACTCGCGTCCTCAGGCGGGTGTCGCGCCAGAGGCCCCGGGCCCAGCCTCCCCCGCCCACTCCGGCCCCACAGCACCGGATCCTGACCCTCAGAGTGTCGGTTTGCGGGGTCCGCGAGCCCAACGTGCCGGACCTCCAAGCCCAGAGCCGCGGTGCGCGTGGGCTGCGCGCCCGGATAGGCTAAGGGCGCTGGGGCTGCGTGGGTGTATTTAAATGGCGCATGCTTCTTTGCCTGTGCGTGGATGGCGGCTGCACTGGCTGTTACGAGACACATAAAACTCCTCCACTCTGCCGGGGGATGGGGGTGGAGAACCACACAGATCTGTCTATCACCGCTTCCTGGGAGGAGTAAAGGGGAAAGGAGGCGGAGGGGGCGTGGTCCCCAGCAGGGGAGAGGCCGCGCGTCCTGACCGGGTCCCTCTGCACCGGCGTGGGTGGAGGAGGGGTGCGCACCCTTTGTGCCCAGGCTTTTTGCGGGTAATTCTGGCTGTATCTTTAGAGCTGTTCGTAACTCTGCCGTGCTTGTCGTAGGGGCAAAGGGACTTTGTGTGTATCCAATTCGTGCGCTGCAACAAAATGGCCCTTCAATCGCAACTACTGGTTTCTCGTCAGGATTCTAAAGCTCCAGCGCTGAAAAAATCCATAGAAAAAGAGGAGCGACGCCCTCCCTCCATTAATTACCTACCTGTGGGGCTGGAGTAACGTGGGCTGGTGCAGCCGGTGCATATAAGGACTTGAATGCAGGGAAGGGGATCCGCCTCCAGACGCCAAAGAATGGGGGAGAAGCGCACTCGCACAGAGTTCCCAGTCACGCGCCTCAGCAGTCTGCGGTGGCGGCTGGGTCGGGTTCGGCCACAGCCCCCCATATCCTGGTTGGCAGGTCTTTAAGGCCGATCACGGGGGCTGACGTTGGGAAGGTTAGCCATAAGCAGGAAAGCTGAGAGGTGGGCTTCCTCTTGGCATCACCACACCCAGAACCTACCCTTGCCGCAATTCCCCACGGAAACGACCAAATTGAAACAAGAAGCTTGTTATCTGGGTGAAGTAGCTGAATGCTTCAGGTAACGCTGGGTAAGGCAGCACACACCACCTCAGGACCCTGGCTTTTCCCTTTCAGGAGGGGTTTCCGCGGTTGACCTCCCCAGATTGATGGAGAAAGTGGCTGGCAGGTTAAGATGAACACACAAGATGCATGGTGTGAGAGCGATTTCACTCCATTCGCTTTCTCATTCAAAACCTGAACGTTTACAGCGGTATACATCACATTCTGTAGTCAAATGTGAGAAGTCACTTCCCCAGACCCCCACAAAGCCCTTCCTCTCCAGCCCTGGCCACGCGAAATACATAGGAAGAAAGGCTAAAATTGAGCTTTTCCCCAAATACAGCAGTAATTTTGAAAGTATCACCTGCATCTCTGTTAAGACAAGAATTTACTTCTGGCCAAGTACACTGAGGATTTTTAATCGTGTGAATATCAGTTTTGGAATAAGGCTTTTGAATGAATATATGAATGGGAGCCAATGCAGTTATTTCAGCACGACGGCAGTACGTATAAGTCTAACAGCATTCGGTATGCGCTGTTGTGCTTATTATTGTATGTATGCATTGTGGATCATGAAACTTGAAAATTGTTCCAACATCCCAATGGCCACAACAGTTACTTAGGAGCTTTTGCCATTAAAGGGTCAAACGTTCAAACGTGTTACATTCAAAACACTCGATTTGCGCTCTCGTTTTCTAATAAAAGCATCCAGGTGCAGGTAGTAGCCAGCCAAGTAATGTCGAAATGATGTAAAAAAACTTACTATTTCTCATCATCGTTTTTATTTTTCCCTTCTTTGTGATCCCTTTTTTACCCTTAATCTAGATGACAAGTTAATGTATTATCTCAGTGTTGAAAGAAAAATAATTAAAGAACAAGTATTGAGATCTCTGGACAGACCTACTTTTAAAATTCCAAACTATGAAAGATGAAATTAAAAAAAACTTTTGAGAATGTTCATTTTATACCCCTTATTTTATTTGAACATTACAAATGAATCTTTCTTTCGGCGTTAGTAAACTGTTCAGGCCGTAAGGATGCTGGCACGGGCACTGAATTTTACCCGCGGGGACTAAGAGGGGAAAAGGTGCGAGGACGCTGACAGGATGCTGAGAATCAGGTGGAGGAGGGGGCTTCCAGGCTGCAGGAAATACCATAAAAGGAGAGATCACATTAGCCAAGGCGCCTCCCTCTGGAAAGGGAGGAACAACCGCCAAGCCTTGTGCATTGAAGTCGAATAGCGGTGACCAGACTGAAGAGAAAAGCAAGAGGTCAGGCACGTAGAGGTTTCCCTGCCTATTAAGGAACTTGAACATCATCCTTTAGGTCAAGTGTGTATCAAATTTCAGCCATTTCAGTACAAACTCCTAATTTATTTGCCATCTCTGTGTACCTCCTGTATGGTATTTATTTAGCATTTTTCTTTAAATCAACATTTTTTTTCTTATTTATTAAGGAAACATAAATCACTACTGCAAATGGAAAGCTAGCAACACTCCTAAAACATAGAAGGAAACCATTAATTATGATGGAAAATAGAGCAATATTATTAAATTCTAGCTAGCTATGATTAACTACCCCAGGCTTCTGGCATAGGGCCTACTCTTAGTTTGTTAAAAACAAGAATAGCAAAGCCCATAAAGACGTTCAAAATTTGACCAAAGTGAGTGTTTCCTCTTGGTGTGATCTGAAGGACTGAAAAACTTGGTATCATTTATATGAAGTTTGAAAGCCTGCAGAACGATGCGACAACACTGGAAATCCGTAAAGTTACTTGTGGAGCTACTACATTTTCTCTTTCCACAAATCCCTAGGTATAACAAAAAAGATAGTTTAAAAAATTCATTAGAGCTCTAGAAGACAAGGCAGTATCAGTGGTCCAGGAATTCAGAGGAATTCCTAATCATGTAAAGCAGGCAGGATTGAATTGCTAGTAGAGCCACAAACCAAAAGTGGTACGGGGTGGGACCAGGGTGAGAGTAGGGGCAGCTTCAAGCTCAAAGGCAGTGGCCGCAAGAAGCAGGCCCTTTCATCACGGTGAATGACCAAAGAATAACATTACTGCATCTGTCATTCACTCAACAAATACACATATGTCATTCTGTGCAAAACACACTACTAGGCTTTGGGGATTCGCCTTCACAGAGGCAAATAATAAACTTATAAATAAACAACCAGTAACTAAGATTATTTTAGATGGTGAGAAGTAATATGAAGAAAATTAAGAAGGGTAATGAGAATCAGCAGGTAGACATGTCCACCCCCAAAACCCTGACACTCAGTCCTTGTGACTAAGGGTCCTTGGGCCAAGGACACAGGGGTGTCACCCCAAGTTGCTGCTCACGGACTGCCAGGAGAAGTGAGACCACATACACATGCAGAAAGTAAACTCCCACATCCCCTGCCCTGCACCGTGCTCTGTCCTGCTCCCCTTCCCACCACAATCAGCAAAGCTCTACCCTCAGAATTAGAACTGGTCCCAGACAGGCAAATGAGACTTCCAAACACAAAGAGGAGCAGAAAAGCCCTAAATCACCATTCAATCCTCGAAATCCATTACTATGATAGAGAGGAACCAATTTCACTCATACAGATTGAACACCAAAAGTCATTGTTCCTATAGCAAAAAGAAGTTTTATAATATATATATTTTTATCCTCACAGGGAAAATAGAGGATCTTACATTCATAAAGCCAAGTTATTGTGAAAACAAATCAGAATATGTTCACTGAAATTTTAAAAATGGATAGATTGAACAGTAATATTATAATGTAGATACTCTTCCAAACATTCATATATTAACATATTTAATATTTATACTCTTACAAAGTAGGCAGTCATTTTACAGCTAAGTAAACTGAAGAATGGAAAGATTAACTTACTCAAGGCAACACAGTAATAAATGACTGAACCAGGATTTGAACTCAAGCTCTTAATCACCATGCTATACTGATAGGCTGAACTGAAGATAAATTGGTACCCTAGAAGACTGAGCCCAGTGAGAGAAAAGCTTGCTAAGATTTTTGCTTATTTGGAAATACACAGATACTATATCTAAACATACAGAAAAATGTAAGTCAAGTGCGCATTATAAATATAAGGGTGCCACATAGGCAAATATAAACTGGATGTTTGAGTTGCAAACTACTTGAGTAGAAAAAAATGGAACAAGGATAGCTTGATGAATTCAGTAAAATGAGGAAGAGAAAAAAACAAACCAGAATGTAGTGTAAAGGACATATTTTTGGAGTGGTGGGACCACCCAACATCCATTCTGCTTTTGAATACTATGGTAGGTAGACTAATGGTCCCCCCCAAAGATATCAACATTCCAATCCCCAGAACCTGCAAATATATTACCGTGCAGAATATTATGATTAATACACATGGTGTGGGGGTTCATGGGGAAGACAGTGTAGCACAGAGAAGACAAGTAGTGACTCTGTGGCACCTTACAACATTGATGGACAGTGACTTCAATGGGGTATGGGAGAGACTTGATAATATGGGTGAATGTAGTAACCACAATTTCATATGAAACTGTCATAAGAGTGTATATCAATAATACCTTAAGAAAAAAATACAGAAACAAATAGTTATTTGACATACAAAAAAAAAAAACGAGGGACCTTGCAGATGTGATTAATTAGGCAATTTGAGATGGGGAGATTATCCTGGATTATCAGGGTGGCCCCAATGTAATCACAAGGGGAGGTGAAAGAGGCAGGTAGGAAAAGAGTCACTCGGAGGAAGTTATGACATGGAAGAAAGTCACTCAGCAATGCAACAATGCTGCCTTTGAAAATGAAGGAAGGGGGACAGAAACCAAGGATTGCAGGCAGCCTCTCTAGAAGTTGAAATGCAAGAAAACCAAGTCACTGCCAGAGCTTCCAGGACTACAGCCCTGTTGACACCTTGATTTTAGCCCAGGGACACCCCACTTGGACTTCTGGCCTCCAGACTGTATGGTAATAAATTTGTGTTGGTTAAAACCACTAAGTTTGCAGTAATCTGTCATAGCAGTGATAGAAACTAGTAAGACTTCCTATATTTATATTGCCTTTTGACTAATTGTCGCTCTCCCCTTGGTTACGGATTACTGGGGCTGTCATTCTCATTTTCTGCCCATTGGTAGCCAAAGGGTGAGTGCGTGTTTGAGTCAGCACAGCAGGAGGCCTCTTCACAGAGACCTGGGACTAAGAAGAATGACAATAAGACTGCAAACGAGTAGTAGCCATTCATTCCAGTTGTGGTGCCCAACCCATAAGGTTTACAAGTCCATTCCTCCTTCCTGTTTCTCAGAAGTTGCCATGTTTTCTCCACATTTTCAAGCTTGGTTCTCCGCAATAAAATCAAGCTATCTACTGCTGTGTCACAAATCACCTCAAAACTCAGTGAATCAAACAAGTATTTCATTAGCTCACAAATCTGTACTCTGGGGAGAGTGTGGAGGGGAAGGCTCTTTTGCTCCCCAGAATGTCACCTAGGGCTGGAGGACCCACTTCCAAAACGGCTCACTCACGCACCTAGCAGGTTCAGCGTTGGGCTACTGGCTGAGGGCTCGGCCAAGGCTGATGGCTGGGAGATTTAGTGCCTCTTCAGGTTGGTCTCTCCATGGACTGCTGGGGCTTCTTCATGTCATGCGTGCTGAGTTCCAATAAAAAGCATCGCCTGAAAACCAGACAAGCTGTGTTGCCTTTTATGATAGCCTCAGAAGTCACCTGGCTTCAATTCTGACATTTGTTACAAATCTACTAGATTCAAGAAGGAGACACATTTATCCTAATTTTTGAAGGGAGAAGTGTCTAAATCACACTGAAGAGGAGCATGTAGGATGGAAGATATTGTTGCATTATTTTTGGAAACTAGACCCTGCCACCTCCTTCCAGCTTTACTATCAATTCTCTGCTATCAGTACCTTTGCCTTTTGTTCACATTAACCAGACTTGATTTCTGCTGTTGCTTGCAACCAAAGAATAATGAAGCAAGCATAAGCACAAACATATCTGAATAAATATAAATGTTTAAATACCTTATTAAAAGACAAAAGTTCTCTGAGTGTGTAAATATAAAGCAAAACAACCCCAGTAAACAATCCTAGTAGGAATACACATGCTCTTCAAATATGCATGGGAAATTGATAAAATCTGACCAGGCCACAAGGGAAAGTTCGATCATTTCCAAAAGGCAACAATCACAGATACCACATTGTTAAACCATATTACCAAGAGGTTTCATGAGTCACAGATTTATCTAAGTAAGTTGGGTTTCCTTTGACAGGAGGCCCACTTAAACTTACTTGTCTCTCACTTCACTTAAACTTACTCCCTGGGATCCAACCAGAAATTTATCATCATCTTAAGCAGATCTGCCTTAGAAAATAAAACTGATTTCCCATTGTCTAATTACACACACATCCTTCTAGCTTCCTGGTAGCTTTGGCTAATATTACCACTGTTTTCAGCCACACAGAGACTCCATTTCTGTCCATGGTAGCGTTCTTCTTTTCTAGTTGTTTTTCCTCTTACCCTGTCTTTCCTTTCCATGTCAGACTTCAAAGTGTTTAGGAGCCTGAAATTTTACATATTGTATTCCATACAGTGTGATCTCAGGTGAACAGCAGGGTCCCTAGGGTTGATCTGCCTGAAAGCAAATCTCAAAATAGAAAAAGTTGTTTTACAGTTCTCATTTCCTGTTTCAGATAGGTATCTTTTAACCTAGTTAGCCTTGGAATAATAATGCCAAGTGATTAAATGGGTTCAGAATAATTTTCCTAATTATCTAGCACCATTTAACCCCAAAGACAAACACAATACTTTACCTAAAATACCAGTATTACACTTTCCCCAAATACAGAATACTGTTGTTACTAAAAATTTGGCAAGTTCTCAAAACAGCATTTTGTTTTCATTCTTCAAGAAATGCCTAACAACAAATATGTATAGAAATTTCAATGTGCAGCTGTAATCCTTCAATATTTATTGTAGAAGTTTAATTATACTTTTTTTTGCAAGTTGTTTGATCTTAATTCCTAAAGCAGTTATAAGTTTAATTATATTCTAGCCAAATAATGGAGCTTGCTTTTCCCTCAATATTTTTAGGACCTAACCTAGTGTCTTGAAACAGTATGTATTCCATACATTTCTGTCCAAGGACCAAACATACTGTAATAGAAACAATGAAAAGACATCTATTCTGACCACCAGGGCCTGTCCAGACTATGTCAAAAGCCTGTGGTGCTTTGCTCCCTGCTGGCTTTCTCAGTTAGTTCCTACTCTCCGTACTTTTCTACAGAATTGTATCCTATTTAATTTTAGACTCTAAGCTCCCCTTACCCTATCACACACACACAAAAACAATCTTCAGTTTTTCATTTCCTGTCCACATATTTGAAAGGCATGAGGCGGCAGGTTAGCCCAGAGCGGGAAGCATGGAGGAGCCGCCCAGCTGGGTCTTTACATGACGTCATAGGGTAGATGACGTTTTTATCAGACTTTTAAAGCTGGAAGGAACCTTAGAGATAACAGAGTCCAACCCTTTCATTTTACAGATAAGGAAACCAAGGTCCAGAGACACTGTGTGACATTCAGTGTCACAGAGTCAGCACAGGAAAGGGCTTTGGGGACTGAAGGCTTTGTGAAAAAAAATGATTTTTGAAAAGGCAAGGCTGTATTTACCTTTATTGTTTCCCCCCAGATTCCTTATCCACTGTTCCTTCTACTGTACCATACTGCACTCCAGACATGTAAGGTACTATCTACTTGTGTTGTGCTTTTTATCTGAAGGAAACTGTACACAACTGATTGGATTTCCTTTAATGTGTAGGTGCTACTTTTTTCTGATGTTAGTATACCCAACCTTTCCAGCTTTCTTAAAATGGGTGCTAGCATGCTATATCTTTCTTCATCATCTCACTTTTAAACTATTTAGCCTTTATAGCTAAAGTGTGTCCTTGTAAATAACATGTGTTCAGTGTTGCTTTTGTATTTCCTATTAAATATTCAGCCTTTTAAATTAGGGTGTTTAGAACATTCACGTTTAATGTTGTTATTGAATGGTTAGGTTTAAGTCCATCACCTTGCTATTTGTTTTCTATTTGTCCCATCTGTTGTTTATTTCCCCTTTCCACTTTTTCTGCTTTCTTTTGGCAGAAAAA